GTCTCTAAATGGTGGCCTATACCAGAGTGGAACAAATCCTATTTTTTTCCGCTCGTAAATTTCGATAGCAGCTGAACAGCCGGGGCGAAGTTGTTACTTTCAGGTCTTGACAAGACACTTTTCAATGCCTTACACACGTGTGACGACTCACATCACGTGACCTGAATCGCACCGTTCTCAAAATGGCCGTCGATTAAGCCTCAAAAAAAATTCGTAAAAAATTTGATTTTGTACATTATATCGTTAATTTGCTCATTTAGGATTCTTTAACCCAAGAGGAATGTATAAGAACAAAAAAAAAGAAAAGAAGAAAAATTTGGCGTCAGTTACCCTTTAAGTTAAATGTGGAGAAACCCAATAACTTGTCACCCGTTCATGAAATGTTTGCAAATAGTGTAGTTCTGCTCATTTTTCAACATTTCTAGACATCTATTAATGATAAATAACAATGTGAACAACAAGGTCGAAGAACAAAAGCAAGTTTAGTTCAAGTTACCTTGAAAGACAGAATGATAGTGCCAGTAAAAACAAGAACGGTGGAGAGTAGAGATGCCACTATAACCTGCTTGCTGATTGGGGTTTCGCGTTGCCACAAAAATTTGTAGACTTCCTGCCATAGTAACGATAACCCAGATACACTGCACATTAGTAACACGATTGAATCAGGGCTCACAGGTAGAACTGTCACCATCACCACAGCAATGTAGCACAAGCAGCATGCTTCTAAAAATCCACCAATCAAAGTCTGCCGTGTAAAGAAAAAATTATAGCATCCTAAGTTTTGAATGTGGAGATACAAATAAGAGATGATAATAATTGCTGCACCGAGTGCTATTTGTATGCGTGTCACTTGCTGTTATGTACTTAAGACCACATAGAGCCAAAGATATCTGATTGAGAACCAGTATATCCGGAAAAATTGTGAGCGTTCGAAAAAACCGAGAAGACGAGATCAACGTTGTGTGACGTTGATTCGGCATTGCATCGGAAAAGGTGTCTATTTGAAATTTAATGGCCCAAGTCTCGTGTTACGTTCGCAGGAACTCCACCGACATAAAACAGATACGATGATAATATTTACTCTCAAGTGGCCAAAAAATATTTGACATCTCTCAAGCGGCCAATTAACAAATCGACAGTGGTTAAGCGTGGTCTGTACTCTTCTTGACAACGATAGTCGTCATCGCAGAGCTTAAAATGTTATGGAAGCAGCGGGATGAGTCCGTAACAAATTTTGAGCACTGCAATAATGACGAATATCGTTGTTGATAAGAGTACAGACCACGCTAAACCACTGTCGATCGTAACACATTGATGCGAGCAGTGTTGTCTGTACACTTATCAAAAACGGCAAACTGGCCAATCAGATTGTGATAACAATGCCTATTGTGGTAAAAAGATTGACAGGCGAATCGTCAGTAAATAGTGATTATCTGATATCACGTAACGCAAAGAGGGAGGGCTGGGGCGAGAGAAATTTATTCAATTCCTAGTGGCCAGTCAAAAATGCCATTGAATTAAAATGAAAGTCTTTGGGTTAATTATGGAAGCAGTGATATCGTTTTTGTAAATAATTTCCAGTTCCAAACACCTGCTACCACTGGTTAATTTCCTTTGACCCATAATTTTTTTAATCGACCATACATCTCAACAAAGCAGGAAATATTGCCATTGAATCCCTTCGATCCGAAATTATACACGGGTTTAGTTTAACAGACAATTCCTCAATATATTGAATCTTGAGTTCAGTCACCGAGAACTTGAGTATTTAATTTTTAATTTGACCCTTCATAGCATGAGAGCTAAAAGCCTCCGCATCATTTTTGTCAGTTCAACATGGCGCGAAAAGTCTGTCTATGAAATTAGAACTGCCATCGAAGGAAAATGATTTTTTTTTTGTTTTTACGACGTTGCAATGAAAATCAGAGAATTACTTACCGAATAAGAAAGAAGTATAGACGATGTTAGCTTTTGAGAATTCAACCTTACGTTTTAAACCGGCAACAAGTACATTTAGTGGAATATACTTGTAATCGTTTCGCACTGCTTTTCTGTTTATGTGTCAGGAGCTCGCACATAAACAGACACAAGCAAACACACTTCCTTTCCTGGAAAGTAAAGAATATCCGACCCTTTTAGAAACAGGAAGAGAAATTTTTGTTTGCAGTAAGTATGTAAGACGAACTGGTACTAACAAATCAGCGCTTTCACGGAGCCATTATCAAGATAATGCATAATACTCATTCAAAAAGTAGTGAAAGGACGTAGTAGAGTTGATTAAGTTAACATAAGGCATAACACAAAGACCCTCACAAGAACGGACGTAGTTTTCACGCGTAAATACGCGACTGTCTGGCGAATAAAAGTATTTCTCTAATGAGGCGGTCAAACCTGTTCTTAAACTTCCCCATTATTATTTAACTTAGAACGTTTTGAGCCATTTTGTTCATTCTCGTAGCGTTTACAGATCGTGGACGCCTTTCTTTTGTGTCCATTGACGCACTCATGCGAAATAAAACTGGCCATAAAATTATTTTCTGCTATTTTGAAAGAGCATGAGTGAAAAGCCTACATTGCAATCACAGCTCTGTAGCTACGTGACGCTGTTGTATCAATAGTGATTTCCATCGACCACATCTCTCATTTACTTTCGCGATGAGATAGAGACGAAGAGAAGCCTTTCTTCCAGAAATTGCGAAATATTTACTGTTACTGATAAAGATTTAAAGGCGTCTAAAAATTAAATGATTTCCTCCTGCAGTAACTCTCACCACAGGGACATAGAGAAAAATTTTAAAGAAACGCAGCAAAATGAAACACAAACATTAAATACACAAGTGACCTTAACGGTATCGCATCACTGAGTACTCCAACCTCTAGTATTCTTGGTCCTCTGTCTAATTGAATGATAGATTTAATTCACTCGCCAATTTGATAAATTTAATTTAGGAAACACGGAAGAAGTAAGCAATCAAACCGGAGACTAAAGTGAAAACAACAAACATGAAAAAAGATTTGCAGAAGACACGAATACGTATTTCAAACCCTAGCAATTTCAAATTTTTTGCGTGGTTTTGGAAGGTTGTGAGTCAGTCTTAGTATTCACTGCTAATTCACTTTACACATCTGATTTAGGAGGAGAAATCGCGCTGTATTGGCAGGTCTCAATGGCCGTACGACACATTTGACCAAATTGCCTTAGTGCGAAACATGCGCGTAAAACTGGAAATGCTCAAAAATGTTGTCAGACCGAGTTCATTAAGTTCATGTAAAAAATCTTCCCTTAGCTGGGCATAATTTCAATTTTAAAATTTCCTTATTTACAACGCAAACATTAAAGAGATTCATTTTAGCAATGACTAAGTATGAAGATCTGATACTTACAAATATGGATGCTTGCTTCGAAGGCCACGGTCGATCTTTCTCCAACAAACTTGTCCAGCATGTAATTATAAAACAAACAGCTTCTGGGATCATTAAAACCAAAACGAGCATCAAAAACAGAGCCTGTTTATTTGTCTCTGATGAATATTTGGTTGTGGAATTCGTTGTAGTCTCATCGATACTTTTAAACTGCTGCCCTAGAACTAGCAAACAAATCTTGCTCGTCACAACACACGATAAGACAGCCCCATAGATTATAAATGCCGTTACCCATTTCGCGACGCGAATGACTACCTCGTTTTTAAAGTCTCTGCTCTTATTTGATTGACGCGGTTTACGACGACTTTTTACTGAGTATTTCATTCTCATCCCTTTCTGCTAATACAGGGTCATGAAAAACATGTCGTGAGAGTCTGGCTTCTTTTTCCGTTGCTTAAAGAGACGCCTATTTATTATCCTTTTTTAGTATCAAATGACTGTAATGACTTGGCCTGTCAATTATTTCACTGTTGCTAAGAGAGATGGCAGTTCCATTATGTTAGCGTCAAATTATCTAAAATTGTCTTCTTAATTTCAGTAAACATAGCAACAGCTTAAACTACAGAGCACTTCCTCGTTTCTCGTATTGCTTGGGGTGTTGACAGATTTTTGTTATAGCCCTATGATAACTTTAACCCAGGAGAGATCTACGTTTTATCCTAAACTTTTAAGGCAACTTATTTTATTTTGGTAATCTTTTCGTTCCTTGTTCAAAAGAGACGCTAATGCGTATTTGGAACGATAAAAATTTTGACAGAAAATCGGTGAAAACCCGGCCTTGTAAGTCACGCGTGTCTGAGTTTGCGTCACAGATAAAAATTCCCTGTTCATCCAATTGACCTTGGTATGTGGTTTTGTCACGATTAATAAACTGATACAGGCACATGCGGACTGATCATGCAATCACAGACATTTACGTGAATTCGAACATCCTTCTAGAAAAGTGCAAACTTGTGACGTACGTTAACTCTGATTAATTAGATGAAACAATATGACACCAATGTTAACCCTTTGTATATGGTCTGCAGGCACAAATGGTTGTTTTATGAGCTTCTCTCCTCACAATCCCAATAGCTCCCAAGTCAAATCAAAGGCCTCTTGGAACCAGCTCATTGATGTTATGGCTTAAGTTTATATCGATTTCTTGGACTTGTTGAATATAGGTGCAGTTGAATTCGGTTTATGTGAACTTTCAAGACCTATGGAATAAATTCTCTCTCATTTTAGGCAGTTGTGTGATAAGAAAACTTGTGCGTTCGTCGTGATGAGAATTGGAAAAAAGGTTGTTAGGGTGAAGGTAGGATGGGCAGAGGTCATTAGGCAGACAATGTCGTTTTTGTTGGCGTTTGTGGGGTGGAGGGTGGGCTGGGTGGATAATCAGGCATCAAATATTGCACTAGCCGCAAAATATTAGTAACCCTCATCTTTCACGATCATTTGCACCATTGTGAAGTATTCTTTTCCCGTTTCTTGATATCTTTTGTTTTTAACAAAGCGGCCATTGTATCTGGTTTCTAAGAAAGCGGCCACAATCGTTCTTAATAGAATCTCAAGCCTTGATATGGTCTGATTTCCTCATATTAATATTTGCGTAGTCACCAAACAGATGAGAGATAAAATCACCAGAAAAGTAAACAAATGGCCGGTCACGAAAGCTACGCTTTGCTTTTCCCTTTGAAAATTCGCTAGTTCCTCATGTACTAAGCCAATAATAATATATGAGGCAAATATGGAAAA